CTCTCGTTGGATCAATGGGGCACTGAACTCAAGCAAGTCCTCTAGAGCCTCAGCTCGCTGCCGGTAGGTCGTCGTGTCGAACCTCTTCTGCCTCCAATCGGACGAACTTCCGAGTTGATTATTGTCGATACTGAGCAGGTTCAAATCACGAGTGTTGGTGTGGCTTTCGCTGTCCCCCCGGAGCACTTGGAAAGTGCATTTGTCCTTGGTGATTGATTTGTCACTGATAGATGGTGGCAAGAGCTTCATGATGGGATGCAATGGATCTTCAGATGATGCCAGTGGGAACTCAGCAATTCTGTCGATTCAAGGTGCGTTAACTGAAACATCAGGAGACTTCAATCCGGTGAGAATGTCGGCGATTCGCCTCTTCTCAGCTGCTTTGAACATGTGTGGGGAAAGTGATGCTCGCCGTGTAGCTTGTATTGTCTAGTCCACTGAAGACCTTGACGGCGGAGGCTGCTAGTGTCAAAACAATAAAAGGTTAATGCATAATATTTGATCAAAGTACACACAATACGTCACACATGTACTACACATAACGCGAACCTACAAGTTGATACACAGCTCTCCCGCGTGTTCAGTTATTTTTTACTGTGTACAAGAGTTTAACCTTTTGTATGGCCAGATAGTACGTACCACCTCTTTATGAGCTATTCTAGCATGAAATGTTTTTGCAGGTTCTAGCCGTCTCCTAGGAGTCGAGGACGCCCTTCGTGGAGTAGGTCCCGGTGATCTTGTTTCTTTTGAATGTTTATCCTGCATCGCTTCTTTGACAACTTCCTTGGTGACCTGGACTGGTAACCGACCCATCTCTTGATGAAGCAGTTCTGAACAATCTTTTGCTGTTCTGGTAGACTGAGGAGGGCCATGGTTAGCAGTGGCATTGTCAAGTTCCACAATCCTCTGTACTTTAAATGAATGACTCTTAATATATCGGGGTTTGCAATTGTCTTTATCATCAGAACACACAGTCTTGTTTTTTTTCATGTCTGTTAGGAAGTATAGCTGGGAACATATTGCAAGCCGGACTTTTCGATTGGATTTCCAACACATAGGGCTGAAGATGCGGATAGTTTAGCAGATCTACATCCTGGAAAACATAATCAGTATGAGGCGATGACATGCGCAAATGAGTGCAGAAACAAGATTATAGTCATTAAAATAAAATATATATTCTCTAGGAAAATGACTCGTACACGGTCTGTGATCTGGATTTCTGCGCAGCATGCTTTTGATGAGTCCCCTACTGCATGACAGAAAATAAACATATTATAAAAATAATTTTCAGATGCCATGAATAGCTCACAAGAAATTCCTACAAGTTAATACGTTACAAGTGCTTACAATGCGCCAGAATATATAGTCGGTAGAGGGGCGACAACAGACTTGTTAATCTTGTTTATCAGTGTCTGCATATCCTGTTAGGGAAAAACATCATCTTAAATGCAACTTTTGGTGAAACGTAATACCAAATGCTTAAAGAGCATATCGACTTACAAATGCACTGAACGCATGCTTCAGCGCAGTCATCTCATAGATGCAGCATCCTGAAAATTGCAGATGTTTAGACAAGAGAATAATGCGACATTCAGAGCAAGACATGTGACTGAATATTAGATAGGAATACTTGCCTAACGACCACACGTCGGACTTGGAGCCATATGGAATGTCAGGAACAAGTTCAGGGCACATGTAACTGGGAGTTCCTACAACCTTCAGAATAAACACAATATATCAAATTATATAAGCAACTTATATATTAGAAAGAAACACATGCCTGTGGATTGAGCAAGAACAACTTACCGACAAAGCTAAATCATCAGAAGTAAACACTTTAGCCAGCCCAAAATCACCTGTTTCACACAACATATATATTCGGAAACAGAAGATATTGCCGTCAGTTCTTTCAAGTATTTTCCATAGTAACTGATTTTATTAGAGCATACCTACCGATCTGTATATTTTGGTCCTTTGTAAGAAATATATTTGAACACTGAAAAAAAGTACTATGCATGGTGAGCAACCGGCTAGGCTTAACTGAAATGAAATGTGAGTACCAGATAAAGGTTACAAATGTAACAACCTTGACATCTCGATGAAGTATATGATTGGCATGCAAGTAATCAAGCGCCATCAGGAGCTGCACAAGCCACACACAGAGTTTCTGCATCCAGAAAAATTGGCATTACAACGGGGCAAAATTCAGTAAGCGGAATTAGCGGCTACTGAACAAGACATATTACAAAGTAGTTGAGCACCTCCTCCGAGAAATGGTTGCCGTTAGCCTTCTTAATGGCCTCTAGCCTGCAAATGCACAGAGAAAAACAGAGAAGCACAATTTCATTACAGGTTCCAAATTCAGTTCAGAGCTCACTTCACAAGTTACACACATACATGTCCCCTCCCCTGCAGTAACCAATCATGATGCACACATAGCACCCCTGATGACAACAACAAAAAACACGAATTTCAGATGTCGGCGGTCACATGAATCCTTTCGTCAGAACATTTTTTCTTTTTGAAATTTTCAGCATGAACATTGAAACATTGCAAGATAAGATCATAAGAGAAGAGGGGAGGAGCATGCTCACCTTCTCCACCCAAGAATCTTTGTATTCCATGATGTAAGGGCTCCTTTCTTTTGCGATGAGCTCGATCTGCATGAACAAAATGCTGAATTTCATCCAAAGGTCAAACAAACCATGCATCTAAGTTGAATGTTGACATGTGACATGGCACAAAATAGGGAATGAAAGAGACCTCTTGGTGCGCGGATCGCCGGCACCTGACGGTCTGACAGGCAGGCCGGATCTTCTTCAAGACATACCTGCAGCAAGGCATACTTGAGATTGAGAGATGGTCTAGGGAATGTGGAGAGCAAGCAAGGGTGGAATTGCAATGGAATTGCACCAACCTCTTCCTCTCAACCTTGTGCCTCACCAGGAGCGCAGAGCCAAAGGAGCCCTTCCCAATCTGCTCCAGCACCTCGTCTGATTCAGCCCAAATAGCTTCTTCCCTGCCAAGAATCATATGGCCCTGAAGGGGAATCACAAGAAAAACACCCAAGGAATTGAATTTATTACGTTGCCTGTGCTGATTCTTGCAAGGAAACAGACTGGAGAAAATTTCAACGAGCCACGCCAAGGACGAATTCGATTCTAGAGTCAGAAAGAAAGAAAAAAGAAGGAAGCAGAACGGACGCGTGGTCAATACATGTGCAGAGTGTTGTAAATTAACAACTACCTAAAGAATGCTACCACACACCAATTTACTAAAAATGACAATTAACTTTGAAACTTAATTAATGTATCCTTGAATGAAAATAACTAAATAAAATATCAGTATAAGGACTCTTAACATCTTAATACAGTGTATTTATTTATCTCGTGTACAGAAGTTCAGTTAAGTTTGTTAGAACCAGGCTGAGAGCTTCATTTCCTAGTAATAAGCGCAGGCAACAAACTCAAACCACCATGATGAAAAATTAGGATGTTAGTAAGCCATTAGGATCCACGTCTTGGTGCAACGAAATTATTGAATGATGAACAAAGTACTACACTAACTCCTAGGTCAGTGTTTCTTGTATAACCTTGCCTATAATTTGAAAGATTATGCAGTATGCTGCTTGGAAACATGGTACTCGAGCAATTCTTTTCAGGTTGTCCAACTATTACTGGAAATAGCGTTTTCCATCTAAAAACACAATCATTCACTGTATTTAAGTTTTTTAACATTTGCAGCAAGGGAACCTAAGAAGAATGCGTATTCCCTATAAATGGTGGATAAAACTATACGCCAACAGGCTACATCATACCATTATGTCAACTGCACAAAAGAACTGTTGGTAAAGCCATACGCAAGGCAACTGAACTTCTCTGCAAAACTGAATGAAAGGATGATAGATAGTCTATACTAATTTATAATACACTTAGAATCAAAAACATGTATAATATACTAATATATTGTATAGACAAAACACTGCCATTAGTTCTATACTTCTAGTGCATGCTGTAGACACAGGCTCGACATTCATTAAATTGCAGTATTTTAATGGCTGCTAAAAGAACAAACACCTTAAACTACAGAGGGCATGGACAGCAAAGAACACCTAGTCACAGAGGCGACACTCACCAGCAAGCAAGCGCACGCACAACGCAACCGTCTTAACCCCTTCACTCACTTCATCATCGTGTAGTTGAACTGCTTCCACCCCAGGCGCTGCACCTCGCAAACCCTGAGGCGCTCAACGCCCAGGTAGAAGAAGGTATTCTTTGAGGTCGCACCGGATGCAACAGAACACTGGATACAGTAGGCATCGGCTAGCTCGGAGGCGTACCCTGCATAGAACAGCTTTGCCATCTCTGACAAGCTGGCACAGTATTGTAATCAACATGTTATGCATTATTTTTCTAACTCAGCAAAAAAATATTATGTGAGAATACATGAGTAAAACAACTGACGAACTGTTTTGTTGTATGGAAGAATCAGGAGTTTATCTATGTAACAATCATCAACCAGATTATAGACTAAGGCTGTAAAATTGCGTTGATGCATCCCAGTATCCATAAATCTTACTATTTCACATACAGCACCCAAAATGAATCAAATGCTGGAGATTCCGAAAAAATGTTGTCCCACAGTTTATTAGCTACATGGAACTGGTGCAGCCAAGCAGCCCTTTTTTTATGCTGAACAAAAACAGTAGCCCCAGCACAACCATCACATGTTTGGTAAAACTTATTGAGTAAATAGATCAGTCTAATCCTCAATTTTTAGCCTATGCATGCCATCTTTAAGGAAAAAGAGGTAAATGTCATTATCAAATAAAACATGTAGGAAGTTAGTGTAAGAAATAAGGAAAAAATATCTCATGATTTCATGAGTCAAAGCAATAACGATTCATGTATCTTGTTAGCTGCTCCAACAACAGTGTGAATCTCCTCAATGAAGAGAATGACCTGTCCATCAGAATCTGCGTCTTATTTAAGCCTATCCTCAAATTTTCCTCGATATTTTGCACCGGCAATCAAAGCACCCATGTCAATTGGTAATTAGCTGCTCAAAACAAAAGTAAAAATCACTCATAAGATCCTCGTGATATAACCCTCGACAATATAGCATCCTTGCATTGACAAGTATACTTACTCGACAATTTGTCAGTGCTTGTGGGACATCTCCTTGCACTATCCTCTGAGCAAGCCTAAATAAGAATGGAAAATACAGTAAGAGAAACTACTTACATACTCACCACCCAATCATGAGGGTTACCAGGGTATCTGATTAGAAACTATTAGTTAGTTTTGCAATGCACTGGAAAAGACCATATATCCATAATGGTAACAAATCTCACTGCGGCAATATCTCTAACAGTTCAGAAATATTACATATTACAAAACAACACAATAGCACACGCAGTAGCAGTAGCAAGCAACATTCCCTACACTCTTACATCGAGTGACCATCCTCTCACACAGCAAACAGAACAACAACCAAGTCTCTCTAGCCCCCCTGATTGCTAGAAATCACTCTGTGGCCCTTGCTAGAAATCCCTGATTACCGGCTAGACAATTCTCTCCCGCTAACAGCTGCATGACGTCTCTTTTCTTCTCACCCTCTCTCCTTCAGATCAACACATTTGTCATTTGGGAAAACAGTAGATAAAATTGGATAAATATTCAATGTATATACATGAATTCAACAGTAGCTACGATGGTCACATACTTCATCTTCTTTTCTATTAGAGTAGACACCCAATCAAGAGAGTTGATGGTGCTCCTCCTCAACTCGTGGTGGTGAAGGAAGAGAGAGGGGTGCAGCCCGCCGTGACGAATATGGACGGGGCTTGTCTTGGCCGGAGCACGTCGTCATCATCAGGCTGGAGCTGATCTCGAGGGGAGGGCTGCAACACCTCGTCCCCACCATGATGGTAGTGCGTTCGCGGTGCTCGTCGCCGCCGCCGCAACATACTCCGCCTCGTCCCCACCATGGTGGTAGCACGTCCGCGGTGCTCCATGGTCGTCGCCGCCGCCGTGACATACTCCGCCTCGTCCCCACCATGGTGGTAGCACGTCCGCGGTCTCCATGGTCGACGTCTTCCTCCCGCGCCGCCGCGCGTCGGGCTCGCACAGGCGACGGTGAAGTCTTGCGGAGGAGGACGGCAAGGGCGTGAGGAGGAGGAAGTCGTCGCCAGGAGGCACCGCGTCGGCGTGAGGTGGAGAGCCAGATCGGGGTGCCCATGACCCACGCGTGGCGGCCATGAGAATGACCTCAAATCTTCACAGACCCGGCGACGGTCTGGAGAGCTGGTGATTGCAGCCGCGGAAGCATGAGGATGGTCGAACAAAGAAAAGAATGGGAATAGGTCCACATCGATTACCAGGAGTATTATCGATAACCAATGAATTTTCCCATGTACGTATTAGCAATGATTTTCGATTGCCTTCTGTTGCGGACATGTACCTGAACCAAACATGGATGAATTCCGATGTAACACCGTCAAATTCCCCTTGCCCATCCCTGATGAATTCCCATGTACCTGAAATAAACATGGGACGTTGAACCTCACACCCTGTGAACTCCCATTCCCCACATCCTACTCCCCCAACCAAACGCGCTGTTAATCCTAGAACCACGGGAGCAGCGGCCAACACAGTGATGCAACCAAATTCGCATTGATCGAGCGGTACCATAGGAAAAGGCAGCGGGGGGTTGGGGGATTTGGAGCATTACCTTGAGGATGTCGAGCCTGATGGAGCTGTAGACGACACCGACGCCGATGCGGACCGCGGAGACCCTGGCCACCTGCCAAAGCAACATCGCGAGGGGAAGAAACCGACCGCTCAGTAAGTCAGATCTGATCAGCGAGGCTGCGGACGAATCGGCGGAGGGGTAGGGAGGGGTGCGTCGGTCGCTTACGAGGATGAGTCTGCTCTTTGTCGGTGGTTCCTAGCACCCTGCCGGTTCTGCATAGGTGGCGGCGGCCTGGATCAGCGCCGGCTCCTGAAGGGGATCGGCGAACGGCTCCTCAAGGGGTTCGGCGCCGTCGAAGGGATCCGCGGCGGCCATTGGAGGCCTCGATCCTTGATGCGAGCGCGAGGGCTGTGACGAAGGACTGGATTGCGAGTCGCCTGATGGGAGTGCGAGGGCGGCGGCGAAGCGATCTGGAGGCTTCGCTCGAGGCCACTCTGGAGGGGAGTCGCTCGTGCGTGCGAGCGGATGATTTTCTGTCGTTTTTTTTCGTACGTCTTCTGTAGTAGATTTTTTTTCGCTGGTTTTTTTTCGTTCAGGCATGCGAGTGCGAGGCGTGCGAGGGACGGGAGGCATTGCTCTTACGTGGTTTTGCTTGGTTTTTTTTGGTATAGGGGAGGTGGGAGGGAGGACGAAAATAAACCAGCGAAAAAAAACCGGAAGACTATTCACCAACCGCTCTATTAGGAGTAGAGATTAATGGACTCGTCTAATCTTTTACTGGGCTTACTTGACTGGCCCATATCTAACTCTTCCAGCGCCTATCTGGCCCATATCTCTCCCGGTGAATCATTTCTTTTACCCTTCCTTCGTCAAGCTCGCACCCATCTGAAACCTTCGACTGAATCTGCTCACCTCTTATGGTGTCCATCGGCCAAAAGCAGCAAGGGTACCCTAGGTTACCAAAATTTACCCGGGGCGGCCGCCCCTACACGACCCCACGCTGGATCCGCCCCTGCCTGGAGCGGAGCGGCTCGCTCTTACAAAAAATTGGAGCGACGGTTTCGGCGATCTCAGAAATCGGGAATCTGGAGTTGGCTTTATTTACGAGCAGCTGCCACCGCGAAGTGAATCAAGGCGGTCACGTACCGGTTCGCTACTTCTATCTCCCCTGTTCTCGTGTGTTCGCCTGGACCTAAGGCCACCTTACCTGTTGAGCCGGCTGGGCTCCAGCCCACCCAGGTTGGCCTGCTAACACGTACGAGAAGCTGGAGCCAGGGGCCGAACGAATTTCTGAGCGCTAGCGCTCGCGCCGGAAGCTGGCGATCCAAAAACGAAGCTGGATTTGTGGATTTATTGGAGTGAGAGAGCTGCCGGACAGGCCCTAACTCTCGACTGGGAGAACCGGTGGAACCCAAAGCCAATAATGGCGGGCTCTCCCTCCCCACTCCCACACACCCCCAGTTCACCCCACTGCCCTCCCAATCCCCACATCCCCACGCCTCGGCGCAGATGGCGCCGTCGGGGCCGAGGAAGCGCAGGGTGAACCGCCCGGAGAACGAGGAGGTGGCGGCCTGGCTCTTCTTGAAGCACCGGGCCATGGCGGAGCAGCAGCCGGGCGGCCTCCCGGAGCACCAGGCCCGCGCGCTCTCCACCGCCTACCGCTGCGTCTGCGCCACCAACGTGCCCATCCGAACCTTCGGCGACCTGGCCCGTCTCAGGTGCGCATCTCCTCGCCTCTTTCAAATCAAACTGTTTCCATTTACGCCACTGCCTGTTAGGATGAGGCGAGGTTTCGGTCGGTTTCGGGGTCGCGCGTCTTTGGATCTGAGCAGTGCATTCCGTCTGCATAACTTTGAGCCTGTAGCATAATAGGTTTCAGCTCCATCGTGTGTCCATTTGCTCGGAATTGCTCTGCTGCAGGTGTATGCTGAAATCAATTTAGGTCATTACCAGCAATGGTCCTTAGCTCCCTAGTTTGGTTTCAAGACTTATTATCTGGTATTTATCATGGATCCTTATTGTATGACTACCAGACTACCTATCCTAACATTTGAAGAAACTGGAAATTAGTACTGTCACTTTATTTTTGTTTGGTGTTTCCTTGCATGTCTACATCCTTCTAAATTCATCATGAAGTCACCCGCAAAAAAATCAAAAAAAATCATAAAGTACTTGGGCTATCAGGTAGTTGTTCATGAATATAGCCCTGTAATTAGGTAGCTATCGTAGTCACAGAAAAGTATCTTTCCAAAGAACATGAAGAAGTGTCACACAGCTATTCTAAAATTTATATTATTGCCATGTTTGCAATTATTTTGAATTCATGATGCTCATTCTGCTACTAATAGTATTTGACACCTTTTACATTTTCTTATCAGGAATTTTGTCCTGGCATATTACTAAATTTATCCTAATGGCAAGCAGAACTATGCTTATTTTGGTCTTTGTTATGTTAGTTCATTGCTATGTGCTTGTTTTCCTGCTCTATTATGTTGGTATTGTCTAGTAGTACTCCCTCCGATCCAAAATAAGTGTCGCAGTTCTAAACTAAAGTTAGTTCAACGTTAGTTCAAAGCTGTGACACTTATTATGGATCGAAAGGAGTAATAGCTTTGTTATCAAGTAGCCATGTTGACTGATATTCCCCAGCCTTGCAAGTTGTCTGGCTACTGTTTTATTATTTTCAATGAATGCTTTGGATGCCTACTGCAAATCAGGGAAAGAGCTGCAGGTTGCAAATAAATCTCAGACCTTGACTCAAATGCACCAAGGTGCATCCAGTTACTCATACACTCAGGCGTTTGATCTGGAACTGGGGGTACAGATCTAAACTTTCTTTCTTGCATCGTCTAGAGCACAAATTCATGCATTTGCTGTTGAAATGCAAAAAAGTACAGCCTTCCATTCCTTGCAAAGATGATTTTCTTTTCTTTTCTTTTTCTCTTTTACCGGGAAGATTAAGTATCCAGTAATTTTCTTTTCTTTATTGACGGGAAGATTCAGTAATAAATGCAAAAAATTATTTGTATTTTTATTTACCTGCCGCAGAATTAACTCTGGACTGTAAAAAGAACTCTCGACTGTAAAAAAAAACAGTGAATAGCAAAGCCAAAACTTCCGAACCAGTAATGGCGGGCTCCTCCTCCTCACTCCCAAACCCCAAACCCTAACCCCCTTCCCACTCCCCCCACACCCCCACATCCCAAGTCCCCTCCAAATCCCACGCCCCCATACCCCACGACGCGGATGGCGCCGTCGGTGCCGAAGAAGAAGCGCAAGGTGAGCCTCCCGGAGAACGAGGTCGCGGCCAGGATCTTCGAGAAGCACCGCTCCATGGCGGCGCAGCAGCCGGCCGGCCTCCCGGACCACCAGGCCCGCGCGCTCTCCGCCGCCTACACCGGCGTTTCCTCCGCCAAGGAGCCCGTCCGGACCCCCGGCGACCTGGCCCGTCCCAAGTGCGCAACCCCCCGCCTCTCTCGAACCTCTTCCTCATACGCTGCTGAGACGAGCCTGGGTTCCGGTCGATTTCGGGGTCTCGCGCTTTGGATCAGCGCTGCAGTCACACTGCTGCTCTAAGACGAACGGGTCGGTTTATGATTTGGGCGCCTTAGCTCTGGGATCTTAGTTCTGTTCGGTGGATGTAAGGGCATCTCCAGCCGTTGGCCCTGGGGGCGTCTAAAAGCGCCGCCTGGGGGTGAGCCGGCGCAAAAAATGGTCTTGGGGGCGAGTACCGCCTGGGGGTGAGCCGTCGGCCCCCAGGGCCGCCCCCAGGCGCGTATTTGAAAAAAACCGTTCGGCGAAGTTATGATAAAAACTAGTTATATTTCGGCCAACCATGGCAAGTTTCGGCGAAATTCGTCCAAACATTACATTAACCTAATCTAAAGTAAAAGAAAGTGGCTGAAGTCGTCGCCGCCATTGTCGTCGGCGGCCTTCTCCTCCTTGACGCGGGTGCCCCTGCTGGACCCCTGCCCGGCGTCGCCTTGGCGAACAGGCGGCGGCGCGTCGTCGTCGTCGTCGCTGTCGCATAAGATGACGACCCCGCCTTCCTCGCGGCCGCGTCGGCGCTCCTCGAAGCGGCGTAGGCCGGCGCACTAGCGCTCCTTCTGCTTCTCCCGGCGCGCCTTCTCCAACGCGATGGATTCCTGGCGCGCCCATTCGAGGGCCGCGTCGTCGTCGTCGAACTCCGCGTTCACCGGCGCCAGCCCCGGCTCCGTCTTCACGGGCGCCAGCCCCGGCTCCGTCTTTGGCTTGACGAAGCGCGGAGGAGCCGACGAGGACGAGGCGCGCCGGCCGCCCCCGTTGATGACGATGCCGGCGCTGCGAGTGCGCCGGCCGAGCGGCGTCTCCACCGCGGGCTCGGCCTTGACGCCGAGCAGCGCCGGAGAGCCGGAGGAATGGGAAGAAGAGCGCGATGAGGAGGAAGAAGAAGAAGCGCGGAACCTCCTCGGCGCCAATGGCCCGACGCGTCGGTGCTGCGCCGGGGCGGCCACCCTCGCCGATGGGTACGCCAACGGCGGGTCGTTGCCGCCCTCGAGGTACGTGAGCACGCCCTCGAGTGTGCGGCCGGGGACGCCCCACCAGAGGTGGCGCCCCTCGCTGTTCTGCCGGCCGCCGACCACCGGAGCGCCGTTGGTGGACGCAAAGTGCTCCTGCTGGCGGCGCTGGAAATACGCCGCCCAGGCCGCGTGGTTGTCGGCGGCGTACTGGGGGAGGGAGCGGTGGGCGTCGGTGAGGGACGCGTGCAAGATGTCGACCTCCTCGGCGAAGTACCTCGGCTTCACCACGGCGTCGGGCAACGAGGGAATGGGCACTCCCCCGGCGCTGAGCCTCCACCCCGTTGGCCCGGCGCGCATGTCCGGCGGCGCCGGGATGTTCGCCTGGAACAGGAGCCAGGACTCCTGTTCGCGGAGCGAACGGCGACCGAAGCCGTTGGCCGCCGCCTCGTCTCCGGGAAGCGTTCTGCCATGGCGACGGTGGGGCTGGGCGGGCTCGGGAGAGGTAGAGGGAGGGGCTGGGCGGCGGCGCTCGGGAGAGGCACGGAGAGGGAGGGGCTGGACGTCGGCGAGGGGGGCTGGTGTGGGCACAGGCGAGTGGAGGCCGCCGGCTTTTATAGCCGGCCCGCGCCCGTGTGTACGCGTGCGAGGGAGGGGAGGCGTCGGCGCACCGTCCCGTGAAGCGCCGCCCGTGAGGAATCAATGGCAAGGCTGAAGACGAGGCGCCGAGTCGCTGACGCGGCTGGCCCACGTCTTTTTCGCGCCAAAACAGTTCGCCCCGGCGCCCCCGTGCGCCCCCCAGCGCGCCGGGTTCGGGCTCGGTCCGCCGACGCTGTTTTCGGCCCAAGCCGGCGAAAATCGGGCTCCTGGGGGCGCGACTGGGCCGTTTTTTCGGCGCCGGCGTGAAAAAATCGCCTAGGGAGGCCTTCCTGGGGGCGCGGCTGGAGATGCCCTAACGGCCTAGTCCTTGGGGGATTTTAGTTGTGCCCATTTGGTCCGAGCATGAATTTTCGGTTTGGATAGCTATTGGTCTGTGGAATCATAAGTTGATCCGTTGATTTGCTGCAGGTATATGCTGAAATCGATCTAGGTCGTTACTATTTTTATATGGCGAGGTGTATTTATATCCATTCCTTTAGGGTTGCCATTCTACTTGGGATTTGCCTGCAAGTAGATGACCAGAGAAGTGGTATAAGTCTATAACAGTATGGCTTTAGTTTTGATCCATATTCTAGAGCTCTCTCCCCTTGATTTTTCTTTTGTGTGTTGAATTTAGAGGTGGAAATTGCCCACTAGATTAATGTGTGGAGTGTATCTAGTACCAATGGTTGCTTTCTGCATTGAGTTGCATCGATTTTTGAGAAACTTAACATTTTCTGAATTAGTTTAATCGTTGTTGTTGCTTCTTCGGTTCTATTATTTTTGTCAGGGGAGTTGGAGGTTGGGTTGTTGACGTCATGGAAGACTCCTTTCCAGGGTCCAGCCTTGATTTGTCCCCTCCGAGAAGTAATACACCAGGAGAAACGGGTAATAGTTTTCTTGATTGCTCATGTGTCCTCTGGAATCTGTTATTCCTTTTTCATCATCAGGATGACAACAAGTCTTCTTCCCCTTCAGTTTTACCAATACTCAGTTCAATGGAAACAGTCAAACAGGTCTATTATTACATCTTAATTAAAGGGTACTGTCCTTTCAACAGGGAAGAAGAACACACGAAACAAACCTTATGTGCCATGGTTGAAATCAGCTGCTTATGCAATAATGATCACACTCTACAGGTATGATTTTTTTAGGGTGGGGGTGGGGGGCTATCTTGCCTAAATTTTTGTTGTTCACGCTGCAAAGTTAGTGCAACCTTAGTACAAAGGGCAACATTTAATCAGAGCAAAAGGGAAAAGACACTTGAATATGCAACAGCAGATATTGACAGTTGTTTACCGAAAAAGGCTTTCGCCCCGCTTTATATATAAAGCAACAACCCACAAGCATCCAGTACAACCACACGCTACGCCACCGCAACACACGCACACACCCAGGACGGGATACAAAGGCGCTGAGCGCAGCAACACTACTCCTAGCACTACCGCCCCGAAGATATGAAGCTACATATGACGAACCATGCGCTCCAAGGCGGCGCCTTCAGGAAGGAAACGACGCCGGAGCGCCGCCACCGCCCGATCCAAGGATCAAAGTTTCCCTCGGAGACGAATGACGGGCAATGAGAGCCGCGACGACGCCTTCAAGAAGGGAGCGATCTTCGCCGTCGCCGGTCCGTCCGAAGATAGAGCAGGTTTTCACCTCGGCCAACATTCACCGCCACCGAACGCCACACCCCGGCAACCACGCCGCCCACACGGCCATGATGAGCGGGCAGCACCAAGGCGCGGGCTTTGTCCAAGAGCACCGCGCCACCACCACCACCAGGGCCGCCGCCCCAGCATCCAAGACCTCGACACCACCTCACCCGTGACCCGGTGCACCCCAACGAAAGAGACGAGCGGAAAGGTCCCACCTTTCGCGCCCCTGGGCAACCCCCAGCGTCGAGACCCAATAGGTCGGCCAGAACCGGCATCCACCGACCCATCCTGCTACCCCAAGCACGAGATGAGCTCGGTCCTGCAGCATCGTGCGCAAGACAAGCTCGGTCCTGCTGCATCGTGCGAGAGACGAGCTTGGTCCTGCTGCATCGTGCACGAGACGAGCTCTGTCTTGCGGCATCGGGCGCGAGACGAGCGGTGGATCGCAGCTGGGAAAGGACCAGCCCTTTGATGGGAGTAGCGCCCGGGCGACAAGGAGATGGGGTGAAGGACGAGACGGCCCGAACGCACACAAACCGACGCCGGAGGAGCCGGCCGTTGCCGCGGACAGATCTGTCAAGTCACCGTGAAGCCGCCACGACACCGGTAGGCCGCCGAGACCTACCCATGTCGCCGCCCATGGCCGGAGCAGCAGCCACGCCCGACCGCTGCCCTACCCGCGTCGCCCGGCGGGTTCCAAGCGCCGGAGCCGCCGGGCACGCACCACCGGAGCCAGGCGCCACCGGCCGGCCCCCAAAGCCAGATCCGGACAGATCCGGCCCGAGACCGGTCACGCGCCACCTCCCGAGACGGGAGCACCGTAGCCGCCATGCAGCGCGCAGCCCGAGGATCGCCGGAGCGCCGCCACAACAGGCCACCCCGCCGCCCCGCGAGACCGCCGCCGCGCCGCTGGATACCGCGGGCGTCCAGCACCGTCGCTCGAAGGGGCCGCCCCGTGCTGGCGCCCACAAGCGGACGGGGAAGGAGGGCCCCGCCGCCGCCTCCTCCCGCCGGGCTTTGCCCGACGGAGCGCGCCGGTGACGGCGGGGGGGGAGGGGAGGGAGACGGGGCCGAGGGCCGCGGC